GCTAAACTTTTAATAAATGTATTCAGTTCTTTAATTATGCTTTCTCAAGATATTTATATAGAATATTCAATTTCTTTATAGATAAGTTATAAAGAGACTTGTATAATATTATTACACTATCTTCATAATAAATCTTATATTATATTTTAATATCAGAAAACTTCACTACTTCTCTTTCTGAAAAGATATTCTTATAATCTGTAAAGAGATATTATATTCATCTATCTTCAATAATAGATACTACTGTTAATTTTATAGTAAGAGTGATAACTTCTTCATCTATTTTCAAGTCTCAGTTATTTACTACATAGTATATTTACTCTATCTTTTTCTCAAGATTCTTTTAATAAAACTCTTCAGATTTCTCTATCACTGTCTCTTTATTAATAAGACAGTACTGTTATATCTGAGTAACTCAGTTAATAAGAGAATTGTTTTCTCTCAATTACAGAAGATCTAGAATAATGTTCTTATCTATAATATTAATAGTATGAAGAAGCAGACTGCTCTTCTTAAAGATTTCTTCTAAGTCTGTAATCACACACTTCACTTAAATTATACTAAAATGATGACATTTTATTTTATTAGTAAATTTTATATAATCTGATAAATCTATCTTCTTTTAACTTTTTATCAAAGAAAAGAAATAGAATATGAAGTTAATATCTATTCTGAAGTTAAGTAGATATCATACTAATATCTTCTCAGTCAGAGTATATATTATAATTATAATATAGACTTAAAGATATAAGAATTATCAATTCTTTATTTCTTTCTCTTCTTTATCTTCTATAAATATATTTATCAGAAGAGAAGTTAACTTTGAGAAGATATCTTCTCAGTTTCTTTTCTTCTTCAGCTTCTTATAATTACTAGTATAGTGATTATCAGCTCTACAGTTAAAATAGAGATCTTTATTAATCTTTTTTACTATTTCTTTACAGTGAGTGAAGAATTAGAATACTTGAAATTCTTCTTTACTTTCTCTATACTGAAGCTGTCACAGTGCTATTTAAATTTTATTATTAATTACTTAGAAGAGATCTTATTAATCTTTTTCTCAGAGAATTGATTATTCAAATAGATCTGAGAAGTCAGATTGATAAGCTCAGTGTAATTAATTAATAAACTCTGATACTGTAATATCATTATTCACATCTTATAAGTCAGCTTTATAAGATAAAGTTATATCTTTAATTAATTCAAATTATCAGTCAATTTCTCTCAATATTCTTTAAATCTTATATTGAAATTGAAAGAATTCTTATTATCTTATTAATATAATGAGTTAAATCACTATACTACTATAAAGCTGCCAAATAAGTGAACTATCTAAAGAGAGAGAATATGAACAGCATTTGAAGAAGATCTCTATAATCAATATAAAAGACTCTATTCTGATTTACTCAGATGGCTCAAAAAATGAGAATTTGAATAGATTAGGTGCAGGCATTGCTTATACTGAAGATAATATCAATTTTATCTCAGATTTCTGAAATTTAGGCTGTGAATCTGAAGTCTTTAATGCTGAACTATTTACAATAGTGAAAGCTTTCAAACTCATTGAAATAAAATCTCATAAAAGAGGAAATAGTTTGAAAGAGACATGAATATTCTCTGATAGTCAAGCTGCTTTAAAAAGACTTAGAAATAGTCAGATTCATAATGATTAAATGAATCTTGAACTGATTTTAAACTCTGTTTTGAAAATTCAAAAGAGAAGAATATCTAAACTGATAATTCATCTGCATTGAGTTCCTGCTCATATGAATATTCATGGCAATGAATTGACTGATTCAGCTGCAAAAAAGGGTTCAGAATTAAGCAGATCTATTCAAAAAACAGTGTTCTGATCTTTCATAAAGAGAAAGATAAAAGAATCTTGTTTAAACAAGTGAAATGAAAGCTGGCAGAAACAAAAGAAGAGCATACATTATTCAAGATTTGAGATAAAATCAAAGTGGAAATCTTGTTCAATTAAATGCAAAAAGAAAATATTCTCATTCATAATTCAGCTAAAACTAGAACATGGTTATTTCAAATCCTATATACAAAGATTTGATGATAGATTTGATTCAACAGAGTGCTCATTCTGCAATACAAATGAGAATCCTGAGTATATTGTAATACATTGTGCATTTACAATAGTCTCAGAGTCAGATTAAAGAAGAAGTATGATTTAAATCAATTAAATATGAGGTTCTTATTCTTAACTGAGACAGAACTTAAATACTTAATAGACTTTCTATCAGAAACTCAAGCAGCTACAAGAAAATGACTCAATTCAGAAGTATCTGAATATGAAGAGATGGAAATTGATTAGATATAGTCTGTTAAAACAGCTATACACTATCTTTTAATAATTTTATTTTGTTATAGTCTCTCTTTACTGTACTTGTTTCTTTCTGTTCTTTTCTATCTATCTATTTAATGTATCTATCTTTAAGACTATGTTCTCTTTTCCTTTGTCATGATATTTTCAAATGGTTTCAAAGTATTAAAAGGTGTTGAAATACTGCAATTTATAAACAGTTTTTGTATTCTGAGCTGGAATTTTCTGATTTTGCATATCTGAAATTGATAAGTGTATAATAGTTGACTCTATAGATGTAGGAAAAACTCTGAGAACTAAAGATTCTCAGGTAAATGTTATAGTCTCTGACTGTATACATCTATAATTGAAGAATAATAATAATAATAATAATACTATAAAGCTGCAGTTACAGTGATCTTTAATTTAATTCAGTAGAAAGTTCTTAAATTCTTCTTAAATTATTATAGTATCAGTACACTTAAACTCTCTCTTCTTAATAACTTAAGTAATTACAGAGTTGTCTTCAAGAAGATTGATAATATATATTACTTATATCTCATAAGTATTATACTAGCTCAGATTGAGGCAGAATTTTCATTTAAGAGTATGAGTAAAGCTGTGAAATTCAGATAATATATTTCTCTTAAATCTTGAAGAATCTCTGATCTTAATCTCTTTATTTTTATAACAGATATAGATGTGTAGAGACTATAACAGTGATAAAGCAGTTGAAGAGCTTATATTAAAATATACAGTAAATTCAGAAATCTCAGATTTCTATCAGAGTAGAGATATATATACTCTAGAGAATAATATAGAGTTTCTCTCAAAGAGTGAGATTAGATTAATCTCAGTATAGATATATAAGATTATATCAGTCTGTTAAAGCTTAACTGATTCAAACTTATAATCAGATTAAGTGATTTAAATTATAATATAACTGAACTGAAGCAGTAACTAGTTAGCAGTATTATATAGAAATAGTTATTAAGAAGTTATATAAGTAAGCTTAACTATCTTACTTAAATAGTGAGCTTGTAAACTATAGAGTTATTATAAGAATATCACAGATATAATACTTAGTATACTAAGAAGATTATATAAGAAATACAGTCACTCTTATATATATTTCAGTAGAAGAAAAACAAATTACTGACTTCTTTAATAAGAAGTCAGTATCTAGTTATTCTATATAGACAATGAATGAATACTCTTCTTTCATTTCATAAGTGAGAATAGCTGAAGTGATACCTCAGTGACATCTCACTATTAAGAAAGAGTAATCTGCTGATCTTATATAGAAGTGAGGTTCTTATATTCATCAATTGAATCTTCATATGATATATCTGAATGATGTCATAGAGTGGTTGAAAACCGGTTCAGATAGAATGAAATCATCCGCATGAAAGTGATGAGCCGTGTGGAACCGCAACGGGGCCTTGGCGCGGCCGGGAGCGTGCCATTGAAGATGGATGAAAAAATGAAGATTGGGCGGGCGTTGAATGTACCCGGGCAGGAAGCAGAAAACTTGACCTTGCTAAGTGCGCCACTTGACCTCGTTATGTAAGCTGACCTTGCAAATGTGGCTCATGCCACTATCTGACCTCACTTAATACATCTTTTCTTGTAATTTGAAACCACTCTTTCTTTCTTAATTATTTATCATCAATTCTATAATCAATTCAAAATCAATTTAAAATCAATTTAATACTGAAATTATTCTTGAATTTAATAATAAAGTAAGTGTTTATATAATTTACACTGAATTGATTATTAACTGATTTTCAATCAATTATTAATTACTTAAATATACAGATTGAATTTATTTTATTACTATAATTAATTAACAATTAATTCAGAATTAATTTAAAATTAATTTAAAATCAATTTAATACTGAAATTATTCTTGAATTTAATAATAATACTGAATTGATTATCAACTGATTTTCAATCAATTATTAATTACTTAAATATATAGATTAAATCTATTTTTATTACTATAATCAATTCAAAATCAATTTAATACTGAAATTATGCTTGAATTTAATAATAATACTGAATTGATTATCAACTGATTTTCAATCAATTATTAATTACTTAAATATATGGATGAAATCTATTTTAGTTACTATAGTTAATTCGAATCAATTCACAATCAATTAGAATTCCTTTAAAAATTAGTTAGTAGAGATCTCTATCTTGATGCTTTTTATAATTGTGTAAACAGCACTGAAATTCGGAAGAAGTGCTCCAGCGAGCAACGGCACTCGAGCTAGTGAGCTGTTAGCTAGCAG